CTCTCTCTCTCTCTCTCTCTCTCTCTCTCTCTCTCTCTCTCTCTCTCTCTCTCTCTCTCTCTCTCTAAAGGGGCATATGAAGATCACAATGTTTCGTCGGGGCTACAAAGAAGCACACGTGTGAAATGCCTTTAATAAATTTCTTTAATAATAATACCATTATGACCTTCATATGATTCTTGAGAGAGAGAGGGAGAGGGAGAGGAAGGGAGAGAGAGAAAGAGAGGGAGAGAAAGGGAGGGGGAGAGAGAGAGAGAGAGAGAGAGTCGGACTCCACATATTACGCCATGATTTTAAATTATTATTTTCGTTTTCACTGTAAATTTTGTAAAAATGAAAACAATAATGTAACTTTGAAGCCTTTTAACTCGAAAGATACTTAATGAAAAACATTTTATTAGTGTTTTGGAAAGCTCTCGAAGTATGCTATAAGAATATGTAATAAAAAATGGGAATTCCATTTAAACAATTCAAAGTGACCTTGTGCTGACCTTGACGACACCACTCGAAGTCAAACCAATAATATCATCTTATGTCCCCCTTGAAATTCCAAAACTTTTATCTGAAACATTTTTTCCTAAAATGCACTGTTCAAGAGATATTTAAGGTGATCGATTAAAATGGGATAACTGTAATACGTATGAGTAGGAAATTACAACGAATCTATATAACCTACTAAACCTACATAATAACCTACATACATGTTATATTGCATGTTACATTCCGTTTCATTACGGCAATATAACTGTTATATATCTGTCTTTGCTGGGAATGTATGATTATTTTGTCTAAATAATAAAAAAAGAAAACTGGCATTTCCTATTTCATGTCATTTCATTTATTCGTGAAACTCGCGTGGTTTCGATCCTGTGTCAGGCAGTCATCCATTTTTACATCATGTTGTTCAATGTTTAACTTCAACAATCGTACAAGAACTGGTGATGCCGATGTACTATAACAATATCTTGGTAGATGATATTTACAATATATTCTTATATCGTTAAAAAAATGTTATGACATTTGTTGGTAAATGTTTGACATGATGTAATAACAATCACAATACGATTAATATTGGTAGAATGTTGCATCAGTAATCAAATTTTAACCTACAACGTGCTGGCAAAAGAGAGAGAATATTCCTTCTTTTCCTCTCATAATATTTTGTTAGAGTAAAGTTATGATTAAACTCTTTTTGTAAGAATTCTAGTTTTACAATATCGTGATAACGATCCTTGCATATATTAAAATCACATTCACATTTTATATACAAGAAACTAAAATATAATTTCACATTTGTGTATAAAAATATTGCACAACTAAAAGATGATGCAAACATTAGACTTCTTATATAACATTTGTAACCGCGATGCGTCGCGTTCCGGATTACGCTCGCTGGTTCGGGTTTGTAGGAGGTGGAATAATGTTGAAACAATAGAATAACCTATCAACTTAGTCGTGTATTTAAAATCAGCTGCTGCGATACATTAAATCAGATATTTTATGTCGACGCCGTTGGTTTTCGGTCGATTGTATAAAAGCTATCAGAGCTTTTGTTTAGGTGATGGCTCGCGAGATGCAGTGCACGGGATATGGACGGTGTTGTTGTCGCGTCGTGAATCCGTCTGTTGACGTTCTCAGCGTCTCGATTCTTTAATTCTGTTTAACAATTATCTTTCTCCGCTGCTAGTCGATGCAACACGATATAAGCGATGTTTCCGCGGAGCTGCGTTCGATGTATCGCCTCTGTGGCGGTACCTCGGGTACAATGATGCCTTTAATATATCGGAGATTCGGTGCGTGCAAACGGATGCTACTGCGGCAGTCCGTCTTTGTGCGCGGCATCTTAGTTGGCTTTGTTGCCTTAGTTGTCGAACGAGGCCGGCTCTTTCGTGCGAGATCACGGATGCGGTAAATACGATGTCGCGGACACGCCTATGCGCCGCGGTAGCAGAGTGATCTCGATCTCGCGTCCCAAATGTGGTCTCTAGTACTTTGGAAGCCGACTCGCGTCCTTGCGAGGCGACGACGGTGTGATCCTGTCGCGGATCCGTATGACGCGGTGTCGAAGCTGCGCTGCAACGGAGCGAAGCTTCGATGCTATGGACGTGAGTTCGCACGCTGCGATAA